TAGGAAAGGGTCGAGCTATACTTCAGATCAAGCAGTTACCCACTCCCGCTTGTGGTAAGCACGGTAAGTCTCCCAGGGTTTCCCGTGAACCGGTCCTTAATTGCCATGGGTGCGACCAGCAAAACCATGCACTCGCAGCCCGCCATTCAGTGTATTTTAATTAACTAACACCATTGCGGTGGCACCAATCCAAAGCTATGCTAATAGACAAAGTCTATGTAATAATGTGATACCCATTTGTGTACTAGTTGAACTAAGCATGGCTAAGCATTTTCCTAAACCAACATCTAGTCATTTTGATACCCAAGTTATCAATGGCATAAGGTAAACAATAAATGGCTGAGTAATAGGACCCATCCCACATGACATTGTAAAAGGATGCAACATTTAATAGAAATGCGGGATATTTGTAAATTGGGTACAATATGATCAATTGTAATGCATGACTTGCCTTGCTCTCGCACTGATGAGACCTCAGCAACGTCTTCGAGAAACCGCGGATCGACGAAACGGCCAGTCTACGCGACAAACAAAGCACACAAGCAAAACATGCTATAAGACTACTGAAACAGGAAACAAAACCATTTTTAATGGATTCTAGGGATTTTTATAAATTTACTGAGACTTGAATGGATTTAAACAGAGCTCGGATGAATTAGTTATGATTTTCAGAAGATAAACTGTGTTTTTACTATAAAAAGAAAAGCCTTATTGGTTTATTGCGCAATATATATTCCCAGATGATGTCAGCAGGGGGGCGCCGACATGCGGGCCTCACTGGCAGCGGCTCAAAGGGGGTGGTCCACCGTGGACCAGGTCCACGGGGCCGGGGTGGTGGTGTATCACGTGGCGTCGACGTGGCACCACGTGGCTGGCCACGCGGGCCATGGGATGGACGGCCACGATCGGGCGAGGGCCGATCGGGCGGTTGGGGACGGGCGGCACCGAGGCCAGCCCGGGCATGGCGCACGGTGGCGACCGGCGACCGGCCGGCGGCAACGGCCGGCGACGCGGACGGCGGCGCGGTGCGACGGCACGCATGCGGGGAGCGGCGGCGCGCACGAGAGAGGAGAGGAAGGGGAGGAAAAGGGGGTCCTCACCGAAGGGGCGACAGCGACCGGTGCGGGAGGGGAGGAGCGGCGGCGCAGGAGGCAGTGGCGACCGGCGCGGAAGCGGCGGCAGCGCACGGGCGAAGCGGCGGCGAGCGTGCGGGGAGGCGGCGCATGCGGGAGAGAGAGGTGGGAGGAAGAGAGGGGGTTCCTCACCGGCGAGCACGGCGACCGGCGCGAAGGATGAAGGCGGCGGCGACGACCGGCGATGCGGAGGAACGGACGGGCGGCGGCGACACCCTAGGAGAAGATGGAGAGGCGTTAGGAGAGGAGACGACGACCACGGCGCTTTAAACCCCGGCCGAAGATGGGGAGGACAGCGCGACTCACCGGTGTGCGAGGAGATAGGCGCTCCGGTGGGATTCCAGCAACGTGAGGCGGCGGCCGGGAAAGCTCTTGCGGCGGCGAAGCTAACGGCGGCGGCGGCTTGGCGCGGCGGCGGCCCTAGCGGCGACGGTATGTGGCCGGAGATGAGCGGCAGCGGCAAAGCTCGGCGAACGCGGCGCGGCGGTGGTAGGAGGCACGGGAAAGGGTGGCGAGAGTGGGAAACGAGAGAGGGGGCTCGGGGGAGCGATTTATAGGTGTGAGAGGGAGCGGACGAGGCCGGGAAACCACCCTACTGCGCCGGCGACGTGGGAAGATGGGAAGGGAGAGAGAGAGGGGATTCAAATTTGAATCCCAGTCGGTGTGGGGCGCGCGCGCGTGCGGGGGAGGTGGAGGAGTGGGCGGCGACGTGGGCACGAGCGCGGGAGAGGCGCGGGATGGGCGTGGAGGAGCGGCGTGGGCGGCAGCGGCGGTTGCTGCCGAGGCACGGGCGGCGAGAGGTTAGGGACGACCCGACTGGTGGGCCCCACCTGTCGGCGCCCCAAGGGAGGAGAGGAGGCGGCTTGGGCCGGCCCAGCAAGAGGGAGGGGCGCAGGAGAGAGATGGGCCAACGGCCCATCAAGAGAAAAAGGAGGAAGAAAAAAAAGAAAAAGGATTTTTCCTGGGATTTATATTGCACCTTGGTGATTTTAAATTGGTTAAAATTATTTCCAAGGCTCTGAAAATTCCACTAAAAATCTTGTTAATGCATTAGGGCATGGGGAACTCAAGAAAAATTCCACCACGCCATTTCTGATTATTAATTGCATTTATTAATTAGGGATTAGCTCTAGGTTCATTAAACAATTTCTTCGGGCAATTTATTAAACAATTTTTAAAGCAAGGAAAAGGGGAAACTTCAGGGCGTGACATAGGATAAGGCGCCGTGGTGGGCCGAGGGGGAAGATGAGGATGGCGATGAATCAGAGGGGGAGGCGGTGGCGGAGTGCGGCAGCGCGAGCGTCAGGTTAGGGGCGGCACCGATCTGGGCGACGGACGGGACGGGGGCGCGGGCGCGCTCCATGGCAATGTGCAGAGGGAAGGTGTGGGAAGAGGCAGCGATTGATTTGCTCGCATGCGTGATTTTCGGCCGGTCACCCCGCGTGCGCGCAATCTCTCTCCCACAGTGTGACCCCGCGTGCGCCGGTACCGTTGGATCTAGAAGCGTTGGATGATTTGGACCGTTAGATTTGATGAATGAGTAATGTAGGTGTAAGAGTGAGTTGGTGAATTATAGGGTAGATAGACTATAGTTCGATTTTTATATTTTCCTCAATTTTCTACTATTAATGTAGGATTTTCTAGACAATGAGAGTACTAAACGTGGAGGCTTCTTTTTCTATTAATTTATTAAGTTAATAGATTTCTAGTATTTATTAAAGTACCATGTGGTAAGTTAGGAGCGTTTGTAGGAGTGTCATATGGCGGTTTAGGATTATTTGTAGGAAGTTTAATGGATTTCTAGTATATAATAGATAGATAGACTAGTTTTCACGAGCCGAGCTAAGCCGAATCGGCTCGTTAGCCCCCCTTACATGCGCGAGGTTGATCCGACAGCTAATGGCAGTGGACTGAGATCTATTATATTATTAAAACAGCCTTGAAAGGAGGCACCACGTTCGCTGTGGAGGCTAAAAATTCCCACATTAATCATAGAAAAAGAAAAGAAGAATCCAAATAGAAATACAAATATAAAAATAGCTAACATTCGGAATTAAAAATATGCATTATTGAAAGAGGAGTCCATATAGCAACCCAATACATGATTAATTAAAACTCGGAATAAAAATAAAATAAATTTTGAAATTAGAAAAAGAAAAAAAAACAAGAGTTCGAGAAGGAATACAATTTAAAAATATCTTAAATTCAGAATTAAAAAAGTCCATACAGGAATCCAATACAAGATTAATTAAATTTCCGAATAAAAAAATAAAAAACACCGAAATTAGAAGAAAGAAAAGAAAAGAAGAGTTCAAGTAGGAATACTGTCAGGGTTATTGATACCACATACCTAATAGTAGTTGACTAAATCTCGGCAGGACCCACCACATACCATGTCTTATACGGAAAAAACCTTCGGATATAGGAGGAGTTCCGTATAAGGAAGGATGAATAGAGTTCTACATGAAAACGACAAGGACTACTCGGATTGTATCTATATTGGTTTCCCTAGTTCTACTTAGACAAAGGGACACCTATGGGTATAAATACAAGGTCCCCTAGGAGGAGAGGGGACACAGAACAATAGATCAAGACACAAGATCAACATACAAGCCAACATGCGCCAAGACAAGACGCCGGATATCGACTTCAGAGATAAGCATAGCTAGTCCCCTACGGTGTCTACGGATACTATCAGGAGAGACATAACGATGTCTTTGATCTCGCCGGATGCAGATTCGAGGAGGAAGGCTACTCTGTTGTCGACTACGAGTCAGCACTTCAGACCGCCAAGTCGACAACAGTTATATAGGCTACCCCAAATATTGTACTGGTGCGATTTTGGTGAATAAGAGCAACGACCGGCTTCGGCCAACAGGAGTAGGGTTATTACCTGACAATTCAGGGGCCCGAACCTATATAAAAATCCTCGTCCCCATCTCTTTTACCTAAGTCTCGCATATATCCTGGTACCAACGATCCCCATACTATGCAAATACCGTAGTCGTGACATCAAACGTCGACAAATACAATTTAAAATTAACTTAAATTTGGAATTAAATATAAGCAATATTGATAAGAGTAAATATAAGAACCCAATAGTAGATTAATTAAAAAATCCGAAATTTGACGGGCCGTAGAGGAGTATAGTTGCATCGTTTGACGGGACTTCTAAAAATTAATAATAAACTCTAAAAACTATAAGGTCCAATTTTTAAAGGTTTGGAACTTCTAAAAAATATAAAAAAACCAACGATAATTATGTTTGATTTTTAAAATAGCAATGGCAATAAAGAGAAGATGCAGTGGACGGTTGTAGAGGAGTATAATGGCAGCATTTAATGGGACTTCTAAAAATTATACAAAAGAACCCTAATAGGACGATAAACTCTAAAAACTATAAGTTTTTAAGATCTAATTTTTAAAGGTTCTAAGAAGAATGAATAGAAACGGTGGTAGATCAAGCAAGCTAATAAAGAATAATATGACAGAAGTAAGTGGTAGCAACTTATGTGACTTTTAAGAACTATAAAATTACAAACACGAGGATGATAAGATTTGGTCTTTCAAAATCTCAAGATATCGAGATAAATTTTTAATAAATCTTAAGTAAAATCATATTAAAAAATATATAATTTTATATGGGTGCTAGCCGCGCAATTGCGCGGGCAGTTTAAAAAACTCTGTCACGTATAACCAGCCCCAGACGCAACCACGGTGGTTGCATCCAAGCGAAGGATTTCATAATTAAGTCATTAATGGCCAATTTGGCTCTAATGGGACTTGTTAATTAATTTTCTCCTGATTCTTGCCAGCTAAACCCACCATCCTACACCTTACCCATGAGAGGGATGGGATGGCATCTCAATCTATGGGCGCCGGGCGGTTGATGAGGCAGACAAAACTGATCAATTTTCTTTTGTTGCATTGTGAATGAGCCCAAGCTAGTAGAAAAGGAGTCATCCGGACCTCGTCTGAAGTCCGGGCTCCTGCAGGCAGCATTATACCCATCAATACACAAACCCAATCAACCCCAGCAACTTTCCGGGCCATCGGACGAGCTGGTCCATGGAGGCGGCCGTCGGCGTGGCGAGCTGGCTCCTCGGTAAGGTGTTGACGCAATTGTCCAGTGACTTGGTGGCGGCGTACGTTGCCAGCACCGAGCTAGGCCTTAACGTGGAGGAGATCAAAAGGGACCTCAAGTACACACAAGGGCTATTGCACATGGCCCAGGGGAGGAAGGACATCAGGGACAACATTGGCTTACAGGGCCTTCTGCAGGATCTAAGCAAGAAAGCCGACGAGGCCGAGGATGCATTGGACGAGATCCACTACTTCATCATCCAGGATCAGATTGATGGCACCCATGAGGTCATACCGGAGGCAGATGGTGGCCTCCGAGGTCATGCCCTCCACGGCCGCCATGCTCTTCGTCATACTGCCGGTAACTGGTTTTCATGCTTTTTTTGTTCTTCTGCACGAGCACGACATGATGCCGACGACTCGCAAGATACAGCCAACTCCCATGGTGACGTCATTGACCAGGTTGGCAACTTGCCATTCAATCGAGTAGACATGTCCAATAAAATCAAGTCAGTGGTAAAGGGCATACATGACTTGTGTACGTGTATATCTAGATTGCTCCAAATTAACCAAACTGCAGGAGAATGGGATACATCCCTGGAGCGGCCTCCCACTAGCTCAACGATTACGCAGGATAAATTGTTTGGGAGGGAAATAATCTTTAGACAAACTCTTCATGACTTGACTAACTGCAATATTCCGAGTGGAACACTATCGGTTTTGCCCATAGTTGGCCCTGGAGGAATTGGAAAAACAACTTTCGCCCAACACCTCTACAATGACAAAAGAACAGATGCCTACTTCCCTATCAAGGTCTGGGTTTGTGTGTCTACTAATTTCGATGTGCTTAGGCTCACTCAGGAGATCCTAAAGTGCATACCTCACGATAAAAGCGCGGGAAGCGAAGCGGTGCATAACTCTTCCAATTTGGATCAGCTCCAAAAAGCTATTGCAGAAAGATTGAAATCACAAATGTTTTTACTTGTCTTGGATGATATGTGGAAATGCGGTAGTGAGGCAGAGTGGAAAAATCTAGTAGCTCCATTCACAAAAGGGGAAGCCAAAGGCAGCGTTATTCTTGTCACAACTCGATTTCCATCTATAGCACAAATGTTGAAAACAACCGAGACAATACAACTGCAGGGTCTCGAGGATAGTGAATTCTTCACATTCTTTGAAGAGTGTATATTTGGTCAAGACAAACCTGAGTGTTACAAACGCGACTTGATTGGTATTGCGAAAGAAATTTCAAAGAAATTGAGAGGTTCCCCACTAGCAGCAAAAACTGTTGATCGTTTATTGAAGAACAACCTTTCCCATGAATGTTGGACAGAAGTTCTGGAAATGGATGAGTGGAAAAATCTGCAAAGTAACGTTGACATTATGCCAGCACTAAAAATTAGCTACGACTACCTTCCTTACTATCTAAAAAAGTGTTTTTCGTATTGCGCCCTTTACCCTGAGGACCACCGGTTTAATAATTTAGAAATTACTTGTTTTTGGGAAGCAATAGGCATTATAGATTCTGGATATCAAAACGATAGAGCTGAAGCAATAGGATTGAAGTATTTGGATGAGCTAATAGGTAATGGTTTCCTCATGAAGGTAACTGATCGCAATAGTCAGTATTATGTAATGCATGATTTGCTACATGAGCTAGCACAAAATGTTTCGTCACAAGAGTGCATAAATATAGAGGAGTTTTACGGTACAATATACTTGCAATATATACTTGCAGTATAAATAATCTAACGGTGTGGATTCATCCAATCTTCTTTTTACAGTATAAACTAGCATGGTGGCCCGTACAGATTGTGCGGCTAGTATCATTATATTTTCTCTCATATAATAGCACATATGTTTTCTCATTATATTATTCAAATATATTAAAATGACAACATAATTTTAAATTTTGCAATAACTTTACGAAATCACTAATGTGTAATATTCATATTGTATTTTACATACGTGTTAGTTATTAATTATTTTTAATATTAAATTTTAGTTATCTGTAAATTATATATATTCTTCCTATATGGACTTTAGACTCGTCTTTTAATATTTATTGTTTTAATTTCTAAATTTTCATTATTTCTAATTGTATTTCTACGTGGACTCTAAACTTAATTTTAAATTTCAGTTACTTCTAAATTGTATTCCTATATTGACTTTAAACTCTTCTTCCCATGTTTTTCTTAATTTCGAATTTTAGTTATTTGTAAATTATATTTTTATACGGACTCTAAGCACTACTTTTAATTTTATTATGTTTATTCCGAATTTTAGTATGGACTTTATACTCTACTTCTAATATTCCTTATTTTTTTAATTCCGAATTTCTATTTTTTTTCTTAATTGTATTTATATATGGACTCTACTCTACTTCTAATATTCCTTATTTTTAATTCCGAATTTCTATTATTTTCTAATTGTATTTCTATATGGACTTTATACTCTACTTCTAATATTCCTTATTTTTTAATTCCGAATTTCTTTTTTTTTCTTAATTGTATTTCTATATGGACACTATACTCTACTTCTAATATTCCTTATTTTTAATTACGAATTTTTATTATTTCCTAATTATATTTTTATATGGACTCTATACTCATCTTCTAATATTCCTTATTTTTAATTCCGAATTTCAGCTATTTTCTAATTATATTTCTATATGAACTCTAGTCTCCTCTTCTAATATTCTTTATTTTTTAATTCCGAATTTCAGCTATTTCTAAATTGTATTTTTATATGGACTCTGCTTTTTCTTTTTCTCCAATTAATGTGAGAATTTCTAGGCCATGAGAGCGAACGTAGAGGCTCATTTTTCTATTTCTTTAATAATATAATAGATTGTGAAGGGTATATTTGTCTTTCTATATTTTTTGCGGGGGATATTTTTGTATTTTCGCATTCTATTCTTTAGTCAGATCTGGATAGTGAGAAAGGGACTCGTCCCATGCGCTACTGCCGCCGCCGACAGCCACCACGTCGCGCCCCGGCTCGCCGCTGACAGCCACCATGATCAAACGCCGCCACACTCGCATGCTATCACGTATGGGGAGAGAGGAAGGGGAAGCAGCACAGAGCACTGGAGCAGCAACATCAGCTCTGCAGTTGCTGTGTGTCTCTGAGATAGTTGAACGAGTGTTGGTCATTCTTCAGAGTTCAGGCTAGCGTGCAAGATGGAGGTAGATGTGTGTCGTTAATGGCTTACGGCATCTGAACTACGATGTACTAAATACTGTTTCAATTGGAAGGAATCGCTCTGCCTCCACGCGTGCTCGTCCGTCGACAATCGGTTCGCCGCCACGCACAATGTATTCCGAAGAAGCGCTGCTGCTCTAGCAGAACGTACTACGAGATCCAGAACTAATACCAACTAAACAACCCGTCCGAGATTAACTCCGGGTGCAAATAAATCTCAAATTCAAATTACTAAACAGCCCTTTCTATATTTTTCACAAATACCAAACTTACCTTTCTATATACTGCAAGTATATACTTACAGTAGAATGTACCGTAAAAGTTCTCTAAATATAAGTCCACAAAGTTTTAGATCTGATAACATCCCACAATCTATTCGACATATATCTATCACTGTACATCATAAATATGGCCAAAGTTTTGAGAGAGAAATGGAAAATTTGAAGAGAAAAATAGACATAGAAAATTTACGGACTTTGATGTTTTTTGGACGATACAATGACAATATGGCTATATTTTTCAAAAATATATTCAAAAAAAACAAAATGCCTTCGTGTTCTATTTATGTTTGTAAACTCTATCAAATCTTTCCCTTTCAACTTTTCAAAACTGATTCACCTTCGATACCTAAAGCTTGAAGTACCTCATAACTTAGAAATGTCTTTGCCAGCCACAATATGTAGATTTTATCACATGAAGTTTTTGGACCTAGGCCATGGTAATTATATTTTGCCTGACGACATTAATCGTCTAGCCAATTTACATTATTTCCTTGCCAAAAAAGAACTTTGTTCCAATATTCGTGGGATTGGAAAGATGAAGTATTTACGGAGGCTGCAAGAATTCCATGTTAAGAAAGAGCGCACTGGGTTTGAACTTAGAGAATTGGGGTATTTGAAAGAGCTTGGAGGAGCACTACAAATAAATAATCTTGAAAATATAGCAACAACGGAAGAAGCAAATGGTGCTGAATTGATGTTGAAAAGGAATCTAAAGACACTAGAACTAGTTTGGGGTGCAGAGCAGCAGAATAGTGGATCTGAGATTATTGAAGGTCTTCAGCCACCTTCTAATCTTAGAGCATTTGGAATAAGAAATCATGGTGGTTCCACTGGTCCTAGTTGGTTATGTGATGATATTTGTGTGAAAGGATTGAGATCTCTCCATCTAGAGGGCATCTCTTGGGGCACTCTTCCACCTTTCGGGCAATTCATATATCTAGAGGAACTTACTTTGATCAATATTGCTGGCATTCGTCAGTTCGGACCAGATTTTGGTGGTGTTACACAGAGGAGTTTCTTACACCTGAAGAAAGTTAGATTTGTTGCCATGCCAGAACTTGTGGAGTGGGTTGGGGGAGCTCATTGCCATTTGTTTTCAAAGCTTGCAAGCATTGAGTGTGAAGAGTGTCCCAATCTCTCTATGCTACTACCACCATCCTCTGAGCGCTGTATCTCTCATGCACAAGATATAAATATCACTTGTTTTCCCAACCTATGTTCTCTTAATATCCGAAATTGCCCCAAGTTATCACTGCCCCCCATGCCTCATACTTCCACTCTAACGCATATTATTGTGGAAGGAGATTATCAAGAAGTGTTGCATTTGGAAGAAAAGATACTGAGTGTAAATGGTTATGGTGGTAGTTTGGCCTTCCATAACCTACAGAAAGTAGAAAACATGAAAATTGAAAAGATGTCACACATTTCATGGACCGATCTCCAGAAGCTGAACTCCCTATCAAGCCTTACCATCATAGGATGCAAAAGCTTGTTGTGCAGTGAAGTAGACGAAGGTGTTATCTTCCATTCAGTTGAGCAGCTCAATCTCTATAAGTGTCATCTTGCCGGAATATCCTTGGCAAAGCTATTAAACTGTTTCCCAGCTCTTACAAAGTTCGAGTTGAACAGGTCCGGTGAAGCTCAAGAGGTTGAGGAAGCAGAACTGCGTTTCCCGTCCCCCAGACTGTTGCGCTATGTCAAGATCTTTGGCTACGAGAACCTGGTTCTACCTATGGAGGTTGGAGGGAGTTTCCAGGATTTCTCCTCACTCCAAGAACTCGAATTTTGGCGTTGCGGCAAGATTTTCGCTTCGTGGTTCATGGTAGAGGCAGGAACTCATCACACTAGCAAGCCCTTCCTGGCTCCCCTTAAGGAACTCACTATTTACAGCGAGTCAAGCGTGCAGTCGATGGCTGTGCTCTCAAGCCTCACATCTCTCACTCGTCTGCGACTAGTAGACTGTGATAACTTAACAGTGGTTGGGTTCGATCCTGTCATGACAGGCAGCCTCAGTGAATTGGTGATTTATAATAAGCCAGATATAGACGATAATAATCATCGCTGCTCCGTAGCAGCACATTTGTTCGCAGCGGTGTCAACGACGAAGGCAATACCTGTTGGTTCATTCCAACAGCTTAAGAAGCTTGAGGTGGACAGCATCTCAGCGGTGTTTGTTGCCCCCATTTGCAGCCTCCTCGCTTCCACCCTCTACAGGTTGAGGTTCACTTATGATTTGTGGATGAAAAATTTCACAAAAGAGCAGGAGCAGGCACTTCAGCTCCTCACCTCCCTCCGAAATCTAGAATTCTATGAGTGCCACCGTCTGCAGTCCCTTCCCGAAGGGTTGCATCTCCTTTCTTCTATCTGCACATTAGGCATCGTCGGATGTCCTGAAATCAGATCGTTGCCCGAGGAGGGCATCCCAGCTTCACTGAAAAAACTACTAGCAATGCGTTGCAGCGTCGACCTGAAGGATCAACTCAAGAGATTAGAAGAATCAAACCAAGATTTACAAGTATTCTACATCTGATCACCCAAGGTAAGACGTGATGTCCCAACTCCTTTGTTTTTTACTCTTTCATCTGCAGTTGTTCATATTTAAACTCTTTTTTACCTGTTCGTTGTTACTGTTGATCATCTAGCGAGCCACCACTACTCTCTTTTGAACAATGAAGTGCAGATACACATTCTAAAGTCATTTGAACAATGATAAAAAATCAAATCCGATGGGAAAAAACAAGAAATTGCTAGAACATGTTGGACAATCGCCATCTTTTCTTACTGTGCGCAACAAGCCTAACCTTGGCATTATGGAAACTTTGCAGTAACTTTGCAGTAATTAGATCGTGGATGTTCTGTACGTTGCTTTATTGGGAGTGATGACCAAACCATTTGCCACACATAGCTTGTTTTTTTCAAGAGAATTACAGTTTTGATTAAGGAGCAACACCCAAATGATTGTGGAGCTAACCTCGTTTGTCTCTATTTCATCATATGTTATGTTACAGTTTTGATTAAGCAGTATTAGATTTAGATGAGAGCAACTGTAATTGTTTATGGTTCTGGTAACACAGTTTCATGGTCATTAGTAGGAGAATTCTTTGACCTTATTAACTTGTTCCCTTTCAGCAAAGCATTGTGGAATGGTGTTTTTTTTAGCCTATTCAGAACCAGTTTTTTACATAATGGAAGCTTTATTAATCTCAGTAAATTTCATCAAGTGATACAATTATTCTGAGAGCACATTCGGCTTCTGCACCAAAGAGTACACACAGCCAACAAGAAAGAAACAAAAGATAAACTCATCATCCAAAATAGCAGAAACAAAAAGAACTTTAGGAGCCCGCTAACCGTAGCCTAGAACGTCACCCATGTGCTGGGGTAGAAAACTACTATATGGCCACTAACTCTAATTGTTGACAAACCGCAATGATAGTACCCTGCAAATTGACCTTCTGAAGGATAGCCTATGAGCGGAGCCAATGTGTAATCAAAAAGATAACCTGCAAAGGAGAAGATATGTTTTTTCCTTTCAAAAACCACATTATTTCTGAAAAGCCAAATAGACCAAATAGTGGTAGTTGCACCTAATAAGACCAAAGATCTCAAATTGCGTGATTGTCTTCTTATCCAATGCCCAAACATATGAGTTGTACTATTAGATAAAACTAATATTCGAAGCAAACTGAATTAAAGACCAAACCGCGCGGGCAAAATAACAATCAAAGAACAAATGATTAATAGTTTCATCTTTGTGGCAGAAAGAACTAGACTTGTTTCCTCTCCAATTCCTTTTAATCAGATTATCTTTTGTTAAGATTACTCCATGGCGTAAGTTGTCACGCCCGAAAATTCACTAGTAATTTCCGAACTTATTTGTGCATAAAATCCTCGTCCAGGAATCAGCCGAGGTACACAAACTAACAATTTAATATACAGATTCATCAAAATATCTAAAACGATAAATACTTACTAAAGAGGCACTTAGTCCTCACCATGAAGAAAACTGCAGCGGAAAAAAAAAAATCTAGCGAAGCTCCGGCTCCACTCCCACAGGCAGCTCAACTGGGGTATAAGCCAAACGTCTTCTCCTTCTGGATCCTTTTTCTTCAACTGAGGTTGATTGATTATTGCAAGGTGAGCATATGACATACTCAGCAAGCCACACAGCAAATATGCAAGTGCGCAAAGATACCAAAGGTTGGCATAATATAGGCTCATTTGCAAAAGCAGCATTTAGCAAAACATTTAAGAGAAGTAAAACAGTGGAGTAATTAATCAGAAATTTTAATCAACACTGAACAACACGCCCATGCTGCTCAGGCCTAACCATTCTGAAACAACCATACCCGGCTGTACAGATCTAATCTCCAATCCAGGAGCTAAGCAAATTATTACCAGATATAACATCCATAATTATTGTGAGAAGTGTGGGACTAATCACGAAAAACATTGCTCAACCCGCCCATAACCGTGGGCACGGCTATTCGAATAGTTTTACTCTGGCCAGAGGTGTACCACTGTACCCACAAGACACAGCCCCACATCATGTCACCATGTGCCTCAGTACCACCACGGTACCTCGGAAAGGGGCTGTGACATTACCCCTTGCATAACACAATCCACCGCAGTGCACCATTCCTGGATCATAATCACCCCCTTATAAATAAGGCATGGACTCCCCAGCGACCCCCGTGGGCTTATCTCCGCCACTTCTCAGTCTGGTGCCCCGCAATGAACCATGCTATACGAAAGGTAAAGCCGTTGCCCACGCTGGCTTGTGGTTGGCACGATTAATGTTTCACAATAGTAGCTCGCGAACCGGTCCTTAATTGTCATGAGCACGACTCTCAAAACCATGTGCTCACAACCCACCATTATCAAGTTTTAGTTGGCAAGTAATTAATTAACCAATCACGATTGACCATCGTGAACTATCATTAAGCCATCATTAAATAATGAGTCATAAGTTATCCCAATAGTGTGCTAATGTTTCTAAGCATGGCTAAGCAATCATATCTAATATCTAGCTGAACCAATATATAAAGCTCAACTTGTCAAGTTATAATAATCCAAGGTATCAAGGAATAAAGTAATCAATGCAAACAGGCCATAACAAAGGAATAGGTTCACACCACCCAGTGACATTCGAAAATAAATGCACAGTTGAAATAAATAGAGAATTTAAATATAGGATCAACATGCTCAAAGGATTGTGTTTAGGATCTGTGTGACTTGCCTTGCAATAATCGGTCTTCAATTAATCTTCTTGAACACTTCCGGCGCACTCACGAACCTTCGCAACGACGGAAACGACAAGCTAACACGCAAAACGAAGAAAAAGACTAATAAAAACCAAATAAACAGTACATATAAAGTAAACAAACATGTAGATCATAATTTTAGATGAATTATGAGACTTGAACGGCCTCATTCTGACTTCATAAGAATTTATTATGAATTTTACAAGATTAAATCTAATTAAAGCCCATTTAAAAAGAATTAAATAAATTTAATTCTATTTATGGACAATTTTAATATGTAGATCTTTATTTTATATAATTTTTGCAACTTGAACCACATTAAACTGAGTTCAAATGAATTAGTTATGAATTTTTAAAGATTAAATCGGATTAAAACACTTATATGGATTTTAATTGAATTATGACGCAATAATGAATTATTTTTGAAAAGGAAAAGGAGGATTATTGCGTCAGCAGCTAGGGTTTCGCGGTGGACCGGGTGCACGGCAACGGTTCATGGGAACGAACGGCCGAGATCAACCCTATCCAAAACGGACGGCCGAGATCGATCGGTCCACGACCGGCTCACGGCGGACGGTCCCGATGACGTCAGCGACAACGTCAGCGATGACGTCAGCACCGGCGGCGACTCGGGCGGCTCGGGCGCGTATGCTCGCCGGCGAACGGCGGCTCTACGGCACAAACGGAGGGCACCAAGACGTAGATCACGGCGCGGCGAACTCACCGATGACCAAAACGTCGGCGGAAGACCAACGGACGGCGGCGGCGTCGAGGAAAAGGTGGCGGAGAAGATCGGGTCGACGGCGGCGACGGTGCTCCGACGGTCTTCGGCGGCGGTGAAGCGGTGGACGAGGACGGCGACGCGACGGCGACCACGATGGCGATCTTCCCGAGCGACGGCGACGTCTGGAACGGCGGCGGCGCACGGCTGGAGCGACGGCGGCGACGGCGGCGCTAGGGCACACGGAGCTAGGGCGCTACGGACGACGAGAGGCAAAGGCGAGGGTGGCGGCGGGTAGAGGAGACACCGGGGATCCTTATAAAGGGGCTAAGAGGCAACGGTGAAGGCCCACGGCTGCCGGCGACGAGAAGGAAAGATCGGGGTTTGAAGGAAAGAGACCGATCCGATTCGAACTCGAATCAAACACATTCCAAACCGATTTAGCCGATGTTTCCAAAGGGGAAAAGGTGGAGGAGATCCCGGAGATCGTTTCCCCTCAATCAATTTCACCAGAAACGGAAAGGAACGGCCGGATTTGGAAGGAGACGGCGGCGCTTGCGCTAGGGTTTCGGGCGGCGGCGGCGGCGCGAGGAGGAAGACAGGCCTGACAGACGGGCCCCACCTGTCAGCGGCTGAGAGAGAAGAGTGGCGGCTCGGCGGACTGGGCCGGACTGGGCCGAGGAGGGAGAGAGATAGAGAGAGGGAGGGTTTTGGGCCGGCTTTCGGCCCAAAGCCAAAAAAAAAAAACCTTTTTCAATTTAAATTATTCATGAAATGCAATTCCATTTATTAAAAACACTTCCTTAGCTCAAATAAATCCCAGAAAAATCTAGGAATTATAGAATTAAGCAAAGTATTTAACAAAATTTTATCTAGCCCAATTTTATATTGAGATTTAACAAATTAAAATTAGATCTTCTCTTTTAGGCTTTTAAAATCATTTCTAATAATTCCTTTTAAACAACAATTTATAATTTAAGGATTTTAAACAAGAAAAGCACTTAACAATTATAATTAGATCATTATTGTCACGACCGGAAATAACCCAACGGGCGTTCCTTACGTGCGTGTATTATTCCTTGTCCTAGGAGGCAAGGTACACCAAAAGTTGATACAATTCAGAGTTTAACAAGCGAAAGCGTAAATAGTTATTTATTACATGGGCAGCGACGGCCCAGCACACTCAAAGACAACGAAAAACAGCGGAAGACTAAGGCGACGACCACAGGCGCTTGACGGCAGGCACGAGCTAGACACCAAAGCCTTCATCCTCCAGGGGCTCCTCTTCTGGGTTTGGGAAAAATTGAACAAGACTGAGTACAACCACCGTACTCAACAAGACACACCCACAAGTGCAGCATAATTGCAAAGGAGTACAATGGAGTTATAATATAGGGGTTAGGTTTTGCAATAAACAGCATTTAAAAGACCCTTAGTTGCTCAAAGCTAAATTTAAAACACGATCCTAGAACTATTTAATATTATTAATCAAGGCCGTGAACCCACACGAACCTGCCTTAACCCAAGGCCTACGATGATTCAGACCGAACTGGCAACCCGACCCTGGGTCCCAGCTCGTCCCAGGCCAACCCAGGCCAACCATTCCACATTTTAGTTGTTAAGCAGGTTTTAAGAATTAAAACACTAACTTGGGTACATTGCTCGGCTTGCCCATAACCGAGGGCGCGGCTATTCGAATAGATTATACTCTGATCAGAGGTGTACATCTTTACCCATAAGACACATCTTCCTCACGTGTAATCACGTGCCACATACCACCACGGTATACAGGCGGAAGACGTGACATAGTTCCCAACCCATCCTAGCCATAGACAAGAGTACCGACCCAATCCCACCTACGGCCGGAACCCCCGGGACAGGCAGGCAGGACTGAGCCCCCTAGCAGCAGGACACCGGCCCTGTGTCATGACATCTCGACTACCGGGCCGCAGCTCGTGTAGCCTTCATTTGCCCTGGAGATGTCCATCGAACCCCCGACTTCGTCCATCTCCATCCGTGTACTTTTGTTTATAACCAGACTGAGCCACAAACTAAGCCTTACCCACTAGACATGTGGAAGTACGGTAGTGCTTTGCAACAGAGGCCCGAAGACCGGTCCTTATATGGCCGAGGTGCTACTATCAAAACCATGCACCCCGAGCCCAGCCTAAAACCATTTTGGGGATTTTGAATAGAGGGGGCGGTATGAATCCAATTCCACAACAATCCAACAAATCCAATGTGTCCAAGTGATATGAATATTACCACAATCTAGAGTTTTAAAACCACCTAATGTTACCTAATTAATCAGCGAAGCATCTACCTAAAATCATACTAGTGATACCACGAGTAGAGTGTCCACTAGTTGGGGGTTTTGTTTATCCTAGGGTGAACAAGGTAATAATAACAATAACAATAATAATAAGGTCATAACAAAGGTAAATAGGCATGGCTAAATAAAACAGTGATAACGCGGGAATTTAAATAAAGCGATGATGCAATAATTTAAATCAAAATAATTTCATAAATTGGGATTCAATATGTTCAAGGATGATGTGTCTTGCCTTGCTCGCTTTCCCAAATGCCGGCTTCAACTTCCACGAAGAGCGGATCCTCCGAAGCTGCAGCGTCTACACGACCAACGGAAAAGAAAAGGCTTTTACTCTAACAAACTCCATATAAAAAGCATTAACAAAGCACAAAAATGGGTTCTTGACTTCTTAAGGAAAAATTAGAGACTTGAACGGTCCAATTCCGAGTTCAAATGGCCAAGTTATAGCCATTTGAAGTTTATATGCTCTTTAAATGAATATTTGCGAATTTCTTCATTTAAATTTTAATTTAAAATTGGATTTATTGCGTCAGCCGAGGGGAGGGGCACGCGGACCGGGTCCACGGGAGTGGGGCCCACGCGGCAGCCTCACGGTCCACGGTGGACCGGGTGCACGCGGCTTACTCCGACCGGCGCCGC